GAAAACTGGCTGCTGAAAAAAAGCACAACCAGCAGCCAGATCAGTAAAATGGGTTGTTTTAAGTAGGTAGAGTTCCCCCACCTGACTTTGACACACTGAGTATGTTCAGCCTGGGTATTTGTCAGTGCTCTTCTCCTTCCGACGGTTTTATTTGTTGGCTGCAAGTTAAGGCTTCCCCTTGCAGGACCTCTCTAGGTTCCTTCCTCCAGTTCCCTTCTGCTTTGGCCTGACTGTCAGCCTTGCATTTTCCTGACTTGAAGGCAGTGAAGACCACTGGACTGGGAGAGAGCCAGCAAAACAGCTCAGCCGTGGTGCTCGCAGTCCTGGAACCTCAGCGTGGATTACGTGTGCTCCACTGGCAGATAAACCTCGTGCCCTGGCTGTGTCAGCTCCGGGCTGAAAGTGGGGGACAGGTTCAGGGTACCCTGAATTTGCTTGATGACTCTGGCTGGCTGGTCCACAGGTGGCTGTGTTTCAAAGGGTGCTTTTTCTTGCACTGCCTTTTTTTATTCCCAGCGCTGAAGTCAGTGGGGTTGTGCAGGGCTGGTCACTTGTTTTTGAGGTAGTTTGGGAAATAGGTGATATTAAAATTGGGATGGGGTGGTTTCTTGTGTATATTGCCTGGGAATAGAAAGTAAAACAAGTTTTACTTTTTAACAACCCAATGTCTTCCCTTGAAGTGTTCATGTGCTCAGATTCTCATGGACACGCGCTGTGGCACTGCTTCTCTAACTTATAATGAGACTCCTTTGTACTTTTCCCATGGAATGGCATAATCACAGAATCAATTAGGTTGGAAAAGACCTCTGAGATCATCGAGCTCAACTATAAACCTATAAATCACAACAAAGTTAAAAGTCAGAGCCATGCTTTAGAAGCAGGCTCTGGGTTTGTGTTAGTCAAGTTTGCACACAGAAGGATTTAGCCCATAGCCTTGCTTCAGATGTCCAGGGAGAAGTGCTATTTATAAAATTCCAAGTGCCCAGTAAGAAGTGCTTTCTATAAAATTTCCCCTGTAGTTCAGATTTCACCATCTCCTACAAGAATTTGCAGTAAATGCATATGTTTCAGCTCACATTTTTAGGTTCTCTCTCTGTGCCCCCATCTTTTTTTTTTTTTTTTTTCATCTCAGGGCAAATTTTTGACCTAATTTGGAGGGGGGACAGTTTTACCTGGGTGAAAACTGAGTGAGGATGGCGAGGCTTGTCTTGTTGTCAGGGTAGAAGCAGAGATAGAGGTTTATAATTGAAAATAACATGTAAAAACTTGTTTTGAATTTCTCAGTGGAATCTAAGAGACTGGGGGGGCGGTTCTGCATCCCCTCAGATACGGTACTTAATATTTATGCTTTCATTGCACCTTGACAAACATTCCACGTAGTTATTGCTTTGCTTGAATATGGAAATATGTTAATTATGGCCTTTATTGCGCTGCCTGCTCTTTTCCTCAGCCTTTTCTATTCAACCCTCTAGGTGGCCCAGCACAATGTGGCTTCTTTTCTTTCAAAAGCTCTTTCCACACTAATAGGGTCCAGGGTGATCTGGAGAACCATGTGCACAAAATTGGTGCACCACCCCCCATTCCTTTGTGGGCATGTCAGGTTAAATTCATATCAGCAGGGGGGTCACTGCCATGATTTTCAATAGCTCGAGATGAGGTGATGACTTCAGACAATGGTGCCACACTCTCCAGTTGGAGACACTTGCCTCACCAGTTGCAGTAGTTAATTAATATGCTAAAAATAGAAGCCAGTGATACAAATTGCTGCCTGTTGTACAACAAAGACGGGGCATGTGTAGCTTTGATAGCCAAGTTTATGGTGCTTGTTATGGAGGGAAGTTAGTTTAGAGCTAGAGGCAATGTAAGACTTTCTGGATGCTGAGCTTTAGTCAGTCTGGGCCTCTGGCCATTCGCTTGCTGTCTCATTTGCATTATGAATGACATTAAGGGAGCTAACAAGGTTATTGGGCATAGAAATGTTCGCATGTGACCCCACGTGGAAGCAGACCTACAGCAGTGCTAGTTGGCAGGGACACTGTGCCTCTTTATTCAGCTTCCTAGGAAGACAGTTTCTGGGAGTGGATCTAAAATCAGCCACGAGAACATCGATGTTCAGATAACGTGGAGATCATGATGTGAGGCAAGGAATTTCAGAGAGCAGGTGGAGCTGTGTCTTTTGCTCAGCCGATTCTGCCTGGACATGGCACCTCCCTGCACCATCTTTTTACTACATCCTGCCTGAAACTCAGGACAAGTAGGGAAAATTATAGAAAATCAATTGCTACCTGTAGTTACCGTGCATAAGTGAGAGATGGTTTGGTACGTCCAAGATCAAACATGGAATTTGCTTCCCAGCTTAGGGGTGTGGTTATCCCTTATGTGTGTTTATATAAATCCATGTGAGGTAAACATGAAAATGGTTTTGATCATCGAATTTTTAAGCTTGAAAAAGACCTCTAAGATCATGGGCTTCAACCCTAACCCAGCACTGCCGTGTTCACAACTAAACCATGACTTCAAGTGCCACATCTGCATGTTTTTTGACTATTTCTGGGGATGGTGACTGCACCACTTCCTTGGGCAGCTGGTCCAATGCCTGATCACCCCGAAGAAATTTTTCCTAATCTCCAATCTAAACCTCTTCTGGCACAACTTGAGGCTGCTTCATCTTGTCCTTTCCCGTGTTCCCTGGGAGCAGAGCCTGACCCACCCCTGGCTGCACCCTCCTGTCTGGGAGCAATAGTGAGCAATAAGGTCCCCCCTGAGCCTCTTTTCCTCCAGGTTAAACACCCCCAGCTCCCTCAGCTGCTCCTCATGAGAATTGTGCTCCGGCCCCTTGCCCAGCTCTGTTCCCTCCTCTGGACACACTCCAGCTCGTCAATGTCCATCTTGCAGTGCCAGGCCCAGAACTGGGCACAGCACTTGGGGTGAGGCCTCCCCAGTGCCCACGACAGGGGGACAGTCACTGCCCTGCTCCTGCTGGCCTCACCATTGCTGACCCAGCCCAGCAGCCATTGGCCTTCTTGCCCACCTGGACATGCACTGTGGAGCAGCAGGCCCAGGCCCTTTCCTGCTGGGCTCTTCCCAGCTGCTCTTCCCCAGCCTGGAGCTACTGGGGGTTGCTGTGACACAGGGGCAGGACCCAGCACTTGCTCTTGGTGAACCTCATCTCTCTGGCCTGTCCAGCCTGTCCAGATCTCTCTGCAGAGCCTTCCTGTCCTCAAGCAAATCAACACTCCTGCCCAACTTGGTGTCACCTGAGAACTGACTGAGGATGCACTCAATCCACTCATCCAGGTCATTTATCAAAGACAACTGGCCCCAGCCCTGAGCCCTGGGGGACACCAGTGGTGACTGGCAGAAAGTGCAATCCTGGAGGTGTAATTCCCATTCCCTTGCCATGTGCTGAGATCAGCATACTCAGGGTTGTGTCCTGCACTGAGAATTTGGGAGTCAAGGTTCTCCTGTTGTCTCACTCTTTAGTGGGGGGCAATATAATTTAATTTCCAAAAGTCAACTTTCCTATCTACAGCGGGTTCTTACTATTACAATAGTGCATAAATTATTATTTTTATAATAATGACATTCCATATTCCTTTCTTCAGCCAGTGGGAATTTGCCCCTCCAAAGTGTCTGTCTGAGTGTGATGTCTGGTAGAAAGCAGCATGCAGTGTTGAGCTTTCAGGTGGGAACCTTCTGGTGGCTTTGTGAGACAGAGAAATCCATGTCAGGGTTTCAACTCCTTGTCTCCCCACTTCTAACACCCCCATTCTGGTCCATCTGGGTGAATATTATGTCCCAAGTGCCTTCTTACTGACTGCTTCAGTCCCAGTGATATAATCCAGCCTGGAGAAGAACATGCTGCCTCCACATCTATTGAAGTATGTGCCAGCTCTGAGTTTGGGAGGCTGAGAACAGCTCTCCATGTGTCTTAAAACCTCAGTGGTTACACAGACATCAGCAGGGTTATAGAATTTGTGAACAGATGGGATTTGGAATCTGCAGCAGGACAGTTTTCTGTAATCTGTTTCTATTGATGTAATGTATTGCTTGTAATTTATTTCTTACTATGTATTACTTCGGTTTACTCTTCCTTCTGCTCCAGTTCCCCCAGCTGAAAACTGGCAGAGAAAGGTTTGCTAATACTGAAAATTGGTAGAGAAAGGTTTGTCAATGAGTTATTGTTGAACCAAAGAACTTGCAAATCAAGTTTTAGGAACACATCAAGATGTGGGAGATCTGATATTTAGCAGGATAAACTAGTGCTGATAAACCCGTGTCTGTGGCAGTATCATAAACCATAAAATTGCATTATAAAGATGACAGGATTTTATTTTAATTTCTCTTCTGATTTGACATATGTGTAAGAGGAAGTTCTGAAGTGTATTTTCAGGTTGTTTATTAAGAAGTAGTAGTAATGACAAATGCGATCCTTGTTCTTCGATTTCATAGCTGTGGGCTGTAAGTGTTCTCACTTCCTAATTGCTAAGGTAGTAAAGATGAACCATTAATTAAAATCTCTTTCCTGGACAGGTCTTTAAATGCTCAAATTAATTTACTCTTTAAAAATTGACGTGACTAAAAATCTCATTTTGGTCCTTTGTGATACCTTATTCCAGTTTTCTAGTTAGACAGAGAGGTCTTAAGTGACCAAGACCCAAATTTCTGACATAAATTACAGGAAGCCTCCTTCTTCTCTTTCCTGTTCTTTAAAACTAAGGAAAGACTATTAAAAATTGTCCAGGTTTACTTTATGCATCAGTGAGAATAAAAGACTGAACCGCATTTCCATTTTAATTTGCAGGTCTCTTCCCCCTCCTTTGCTTGTGATGAGCAGTGTGACTAATGAGCTCCATGAGACCAAAAAGAGTGGCACTTTTCCCTTTCTTCTACTTCCCCATGTTTTATTCTTGGGTGTGGTTTTTTTATGTTGCTTGCCTCTGATGTTTTGCAGCTTTTCTGGTCTGGGCTTGGACTAATTCCCAGATCTGTTCTTGCAGATTTTAACTTTGCCATGTACCCACCATCAATGATAGCAACTGGAAGTGTGGGGGCAGCCATCTGTGGCCTTCAGCTCGATGATGGGGACAGTCTCACGGACCTCCTGGCCAAGATCACAAACACAGATGTGGTAAGTGTTCCACATTCCTCTTCTCCTTTCACTTCCCAAGGTGTACTGGAGAACTGGGCCTGATCTTGATGACTGAGTGGAGCAAAGGAAGGGGTTGCTTCTGCAGGGCGTGAGTTGCGGGTGTGGACCCAGCACTTTGGTTTGAGTCTCCAAAGCTCATTGATTTCCTGGAATTCATTTTTTATTTAGGCTTGGTGGGGAGAGCCTGCTTTGCCTGCCCAGGCTGATGGTCCAGCAGGCTGAGCCTCCTCTGGAGTCCTGGGTGATAGGGTGAGCAGGCAGCATTCCCTGGGGCATAAAGCAAATCAGGAGGTGTTGTGCTGCTGTTGGTCCTGTGCTTGCAACCTTGAAATGGCTCTTCTGGCTTCTCTCAGGAATCACCTAAAAATTCTTGGCTTGGAAGAAATGAATAATGAGCTAATTTCAAGGCAGGATGTGAAACAAGCACAATTCAAGCTGTCTTTAACATGTGCTAATTTATTGGTTTTGATTCACAGAGTAAATACATGGCATTATTACATCTTTGACAGCACTGTTAAATGAAGATTTGGGTTTGTGATTCGGTTAAAAAGGAGTAATTAGTCCAGGTTGCTTAAAAGGGGAGAATTTTTATTTTTTTTTTTTTTTTCTTACAATCAAATTGATCCTAATTTTCAAATGCAATTCTGGGGTTTCCCATTTATTTTAATTTTAATTGGATTTGCACAGAAAAAGGAATATTGCTAATTCAGAGTGCTTGAAGTCTAAACCGTAGAATGGCCTGGGTTGGAAGGGGCCTTAAAGATCATCTCATTCCAACCCTCCTGCCACAGGCAGGGACACCTGCCACTATCCCATCTTGCTCAGAGCCCCATCCAGCCTGGCCTTGGACACTTCCAGGGATGGGGCAGCCACAGCTTCTCTGGGCAACCTGTGCCAGGGCCTCAGCACCCTCACAGGGAAGAATTTCTTCCTCATATCCAATCTGAATCTCCTCTCTGTCAGTGTGAAGCCATTCCCCCATGTCCTGTCACTCCAGGCCCTTGTCAAGAGTCTCTCTCCATCTTTCCTGTGGGCTCCCTTCAGGCACTGCAAGGGCACAGTGAGGTCATCCCAAAGCCTTCTCTTCTCCAGGCTGAACAATCCCAATTCCCTCAGCCTTTCCTCCCAGCAGAGCTGCTCCATCCCTCTGATCCCCTTTATCCATCTGAGAGTAGGGAAACCTGTGCCTGAGAGAATTGTGTGTAAGCCCTATAAGGCCCTTTTGCTGCGTCTTGCAATTTGGAAATATTTTATCAACTGTGCTTTTCTATCCAGATTATTTAAGTCTGAAAGAAAATATCTACAAAAACATCTTAGTTCTTAAGTGGTTAGAAGATGGGGTTTTAATTTTGCACTGAAAATGCCTCCACGCCTTTTCTTTTAAATGTAGCAGGATTTTTTTTGTCAAAAGTGTGCTTTTTGCCATCCTGATGAAAATCTTCCCAGATCTGACTGAGTCTGCATTTCTTCAGAAGAAAAAATTAATACTCTTCCCAAATAACAAAGACTCCTAACATTTTACTCTTCCGATCTTCTCTCCAAGAGTCTGTCAGCATTGGGTAGAGACCAGCTTCCTTCTCTTTGCTCCTGGTCTCAGCCCACAGCAGCACAAACTATAGAGAAGGGTTTCACTCATCCCCCAAATCAGAATAAACTCATGACAAAAGGAGCTTCAGGATAATTTAATTGCTAAAAAATATAAGCCTTTGCAGAAATTAGAGGTGCTTTTATTTTTTTCAAGGTGTTGTCCTTTGTGAGGAAGAGGTAGCCTTAACTCCCTGCAAGCTTTGAACCCTCAGCCTAACCAAAGGTTGCCAACATTTTTGAGTTTGGGCAAAATAGTGTATTTTTCGTTAGCCTGCTGTTTCAGTTTGGGAGAAATATTTTGCTAGGTGTTTTCTCTGTGAGTTTTGCATTGGAAAAATACAAAAGGGGCCAATACTGGCAACTTTCATCCCACATGAAAAAGCTTGAGAGAGAGAAAAGCAACTGAAAATGGGACTCAGAGAAGCATGGGGCAGGCTTAGCAATAGGTAGTAATACCAGCCTCATATGTAAAATGTATTGTTGGAAAAAACCTACTGTCTGGATTGTGTAAGAGGTGGCCCAAGGCTGTGTTAAAGAGTAAAGACTATTGTAATACATTTTACACTGGGACTTAATTAAAGTTGAATGAAGAGCTTCAGTTCTCTCACTTCCAAATTTCTGATGCCTGAGAGCTGTTCCTGCAGTGGCACAATTAATTCATTGTCACTGTGTGAATGATTTTGTTTTCCAGTGGGGGCTTAGGGAAGAAGGAGAAATGAGAGTTCCTGGTCTTTAGGACCATCATGCGGGAGAAAAGTGGGGAAGTCATAGAAATTAACAGTTCTGCAGAGGAAAACCTTCTGGCCCCCTATGCCTCATGGTAGCCCACAGGAACCATCAGGCAGCTGGGGAAGTCCTTCGCAGCCAGAGGGTGCCAGGGCTTCTGCTTCATTTTTGTTTTGGAGCATGTAATTGCTTAGCATGGAAACAGATGATAGGACTTTCCCATTGGCTTTTCAGAAAATGTCACTGTCTGAGGTGAAGCATGAAAAATCTCAGCTTCGAAGCTGCAAGCAGATGAAAAGGAAGAATGGTAATGAAACCGTGATGCAACTTAAGTGCAATGAGCTTTTCTGAACTTTCACTGTTTTATAGTGATAACTTAAGGGTGCAGTTTATTTGCTGGGAAATAGCAGCATTAACCAAGAGGCTGAAATCAGTGGTGTTTTTTTAGATTTACATTAGTGTAACTGAGACTGGAGTTGGGCATTTACAACTAAAATTAATGTTTTTAATGGATGTTTCATTAAGAATTAGACCAAAAATACATTATTAATAAACAACATGTAAATTAGAGCCCAGCTGTTGGGTAAGCAGACAACCAGCAAGAGTGTTTCTTTCAAAAACACGTTGGTGTTGGATATCCTTGCATGAATCCAGAGCAGTGCCCTAGAGTTGAGATGAGGCTGTCCAAGGCATCCTGGACTGTTATTTTAGGGATAACAGTTAGTTCTGGTAAATAGCTGCCCCGGGCTGTTTGGTGAGGGTTGAATCACAGGCTGGAGAAAGTGTGACAACAGGGCCAGGCAAAGCCTGGTTTCATTACTCCTTCCACCGACCTAAATAAACAGCAGGGAGCTGCTCTTAGAGAAGCTCAGCAGCCTGAAGGGTAGTGAAAGTAGCTCTGCATGGTGCATCTGAGCTGCCTTCTCTGATTGCTGCTGTCCCTAAGAGCCACTAAGAGCTAATCCCACACAACTGAGGGAGAGGTTTCTCCCCCTCTACTTTGTTCTTGTGAGGCTCCACCTGAAATATCGCATGCAGTCCTGGTGCCCCCAACATAAGGAACTGTTGGAGCAAGTTCAGAGCAGGCCGCAGAATTGATAAAGGGAACTGGAGCAGCTTCCCTGTGGAGACAGGACAGGAGAGTTGAGGCTGTTCAGCTTGGAAAAGAGAAAGTTGTGTGGAGACCTCAGAGCAGCCATTCCAGCATGAATGGGCTACAGAAAAGCTGGAGAGGTGTTGCAGTTCGTTTTGGGGTGGGGCACCCCGGGGAGTCCCCAGAGGGCCCCCTAGGCTGTGAGCTGGCTGGCAGCAGCAGACAGGCAAGGAGACTCCACATGGCTTCTGAGGATGCTGATCAGATGAAGGTTTATTTGGGGTCCCAACCCTGGGAACAGCATGGCTACTGAGGGAAAAGGGGGGAAGGGGGAAGGAGGGGGAGCCGAGGGGAGGGAAGGGGCAAGAAGAGGGGAAGAGGCTGAGAGAGAGCAAGGGCTAAGAGACCGACTGGTTTTATAGTACAGCTTAAGAGGGGAATTGAAGTGGGCGCGGAATCACATTGGGCCAATGGGGTGACAGATACAGGATGGTTCAGGGCAGGACCACAGGCTTAGAATATACCATACATTTCGGAGGGGTGAGACAGGGCATACCATTTAAACAAAATGGAATACAACAGAGAGGGACTTCTCATGAGGAACTGTAGTAACAGGACAAGGAGGAATGGCTTCAAATGGATAGGGAGTAGGTTTAGATAGGTTATTAGGAAGGAATTAGAATTAGAATTAGAATTAGAATTAGAATTAATTAGAATTAGAGAGGGTGTTGATGCCCTGGCACAGGTTTCCCAGAGGAGCTGTGTCCTACGCATCCTTGGAAGTGTTCAAAGCCAGGTTGGATGAGACTCTCAGCAACCTGGTCTAGAGCTAGGTGTCCCTGCCCATGGCGGGGGGCTGGAATTCTTATTATAAAGATCACCTTTAAGGTCTGTTTGAACCCAAACCATTCTGTACCTCTGATTCTAACTTCACACAGCTCTGAAGGATGGGGATTGCATGTTCCAGTTTGTTCTGCTGTCAGCGGCTGGGAACATTTCCTTTGTGGTTGCTTGCAGAGAGGCTGGTGAACAAAGACTTAACAGATCTACTGGCAGGAAGCCTCAGAGCTCCCTGTGCATCTCTTGGTGGGTCGTTGCAAAGGAAAAACAAACAACTCAGGAAGTCAGGAATTCCCATAGCATCCCAGACCAGCACTCCAGTTCAAGCAGTATCCTGTCCCTGGTGGAGCCAGATGCTTTGGAGGAAGATACAAGCATCCCCGCTGTGCACAGTTATGGGATGTGAAGAAGGATAGCTGAATGGGTAGGGCATGTTTTAAGACCTTGCAATCAGTATTGTGCTTTGCTTGAGACCTTTCTTGGGTAAATCTATTCCCTCACCTCCTGGAAGAGCAGCCATCCAGGTTGCATCTGGATGACACACGGAGTTGGTCTCTCCAGCATCAGCAGCCAGGGAGAGTTTTCAGGCAGAGCCAGTGCCTGTATGTGGGCAGAAGTCATCTGTAAAAGTCTGTTCCCAGATGGTAACTGGTGTATATTGAATGGTTTGGAAAATGTAAAGCGTACTTAAGGGCCTGAAGTAAAAAAAAAAAAAAGAAAAGCAAGGAACCAA